ATAAATATTTGTTTTTATTTCATTCAATTAAATCTTCTTTCCTTCTCTCTCTCTCTCTCTCTCTCTCTCTCTCTCTCTCTCTTCCTTTGTTAAAGATGTATGAATTTATGACAATGCATGATTGATTGATTGATTGATCGAGTAATTAAATGATTGACTATTTGAATTCCTTTCATTTATCAAGTCAAATAAATAATTGATTGAGTTAGTAAAAAAAAAAAAAACAAAAAAAACAAGCAAGCATACATCATAACAAGCATACAAACACAAACAATCTCTCAAACACGGCCACAAATATACAAGCTAAAGCATACACACACACACATACAAACAAACAAACATACACAAATACAAGCAAACAAACATACACACACATACAAGCAAACAAACATGCAGACATACACACAAACCTACAAACAAGCTGAACAAAAATTCAAACCTCTATTATTATCATTATCTCCACCTATAAATGCCTTTTTTAAGTTTGCCAAATTAGTATAAATTTCTTGTAGGTAGGTAGCAAGATCTGACGACTCTTCGTATTCAGGAGTCAGATCGAGAAAAGATAAGTTACTGGCCGACGATCCTTTCAACATGTTAGTGAGGTTGGTCTGCATTTTTGTTAGGTTTTTGTCGATTTGTTGTTGCCTTTGATTTTGTCTAGAAGAAGATGTTGTCGAAGCCATTGATGTGGATTGGGGAAGAAATGATTAAGATGAGGATGATGAGTGATGATTAGAAATGGCTTCATTCATAATTGTTGTCACCGATGTTACAAATGTACATCATTGCCTAATTTTAGGAATTGAAAAAATTGATGAAGCTAAATAAAATAAATCTAAATGAGATGCAGTACTTACTACCAGTGGTCTGGCACTAGACAAACTACCCATTTATTTTTTCTTAATTAATTAGTTTTACTATAACATATTAAAATTGAAAATGTAGTCAAATCAGCTTCAAGAAAGCCTTAATTAAATAAATTTTTGCAGAGTAAATCCTATATTATAAAATTATATTATAATTATAAATTATAAAAAATTGAAGTAAAGATGTCAAACCAAAAAATATAAAATTAGACTGAACATTTTTAACAAAATAACTTAATTATTGAATTATTTATTCTTAAAAAGTGTCAACACGAGATGGTGCCAATTCTGTAAATTTATTCCATACTAAATAACTAATCAATTCTGGATTTTAAATTTTAAAGGTTGTTAAACAAATAAAAAATGAATTACTTCGTTAACAAATCTTTAGGCCAAAAAACGAATTAAATTAATTATTTAAAAAGTATAAGTTCCGTAAAATAAATTTTTTGAAAGAGAAAATGAATAAATTAGTGAAATAAATTAATTAAAAAGTTTGATTGAAAATTAATAACGATAACAAAAAATGTACGTTAGGAAAGCTGGCGGCGTTATCATTTCATGCATTCCATTCATTTGTTTGGAGTTTCATTATTCAAATTCTCGAGATGAAATGTTATACGAAAGAATTAGCTAAAAATTTAGATAAATAATTAAATTTTTTATTGAAAATGGCGTTTTTTAGTTTAATTTGACGTTTCTGTTTAGTTAAAAATTTACATTTGATAAAATAATACATTATTTATATCTTATTACATGTAGCAATGTAAACTGGTCATAATTATAACCCAACGTAAAATAACGTTTTAATTTAAAAAAATATTGTTTAAACTGACAATGTGATACACACACATACAAACACAAACACACACAAACAAACACGTGTATATATACACACCAACCAAGACATGGTTTTAACGTACATACCAACATTAATACGCATATACATAATAGGCGCAAGTCACTTCATTGATTTTATTTCATCTAGAAGAGTCTGTACCGTTGTTGTGGTTGTTGAAGCTGTAGTTGTTAAAGCTGCTGTTTTGACTGCTGTTGCTTATACGGATGGAGATAAGTTATTGAAATTAAAAAAAAACTAACAAAGAATTCGAATTATAGTACGTAGTTCTTAATGATAAATGCTCAGTCAATTCAAAATACTATATCTATATCAAAAATGTCCGAACTTCCATCATCAAATTATACCTTTTTTATGCTCAGGAAATTAAATACTATATGAATGTAGTAACAGACTATTAGTTTAATTCACTATATAAACGGAACTATAATGCCTGTTCAGTAATACACAATAACATAACATAACAAAGTCTTTTTATAGGAATCCAAAAAAACTGAGTCTGTGACAGGATCACTTTGAAACTTTTTTTAATATCGTAATTTTGCCAAGTTTGCTGTAAAGTTATTAGTTGTTTCTGCGCATATTATTTTATCTACCAGTTTGTTCCACTCGTTGACAACTCTGCGGCTTCATCCATCCTTAGCATCTTTTAAAGATCTTATATTTACGCCCCCTTATTTTACTGTTCATCTTAAGCTCAAAAAATTTCGCTGATTCCAAATTCTCCTTCATAGTGATGATTTTGTATGCCTGAATCAAATCTACTCTTGTTCTTTTTTTCTAATGCTGTCATTCCACAAATATTTAATCTGTCTTCATATGGCATACTGCGACACTCCTTTATCATTCTCGTTGCTTGCCATCCTTTGAATATTCTCGAGCATGTGTTTGTCCTTATGTAAATCTAGATTCCAAAGCTGAACACAGTACTTCAAGTTAGGTCGAACCAAAGCTTTATATATGTTTAATATGTTAGTGTTGAATACCATCTGCCAATCCTCTGCTCATTTGCATATTTCTTGCAAATCACCTGCTAGAATTTCATTATCTTCATCGTTGTCTATAACAGCACATAATTTAGTGTCATCTGCAAATTTTGAAATTTTAGATTTTATTCCTAGATCAGTATTATTGATGTATATTACAAATAGCAACGGTCCTAATACGGATCCTTAAAGAACCCCACTTGTAACATTGCTCCAATTTGAGAAACATTCTCCAATACCAACTTTTCGTCGTCTATCTTGTAACAAGTTAGAAATCGACGTAATAGTTATCGTTATGTTACCATATATCAAAAACTTGAAAATAACTTTTTCGATATTTATTTCAAAACACCGACCAGAAGCCCATTGTAGGCTTGTACGGTCAATATATACATATAAATAGTAATATATATATATATATATATATATATAGTAATATATATATAGTAATATATATATATATAAGATATATGCCATTGGTTATTAAATAGTTACAAAAATAATTCATTTTATATAAAATGTTACCATATAAAAATGACACTGAATAGGAAATACTGCACTAAGATTAAAATACTGCCAGAAACATCATATTCATTTCTTTCGACTTTTCAATTGAATTTGAAGTTAAAATTAATTGACATTTGAATCAAAACAATCTCTAATTACAAAATATTCCTAAATTAATTAGATTAAATTAGATTAATTAAAAATTGTCGAACTACACGGTGGGCAACATAGCACAAAATTAAAGTGTACCAAAGATGAAATAATCAATAACGTTATTACATTTGCAAAATTAGTTTTCTACGGTACAAAGAGCATATATATATTTTTATATAACTTTTTATAGCGCCGTATTTTTAGCTAACATAGAAACGTCAATAATATTGTTAATTATGAAATATATTTAATTCATCACAAATATCACTCTCACATCACGACAAATAACGCATGTATATATACTATATATAAATTATATATATATATATATATTATATATATATATATATTATATTATATATATATAGTATATATACAAAAAACGATATATATATATATATACATCAAAAATTATTAAAAACATGATATGATATGTTGATATATAATGTTTTATCAAAAAGCGTTATAGTTTCATACATATACATATATATATAGTGATGGGTTTGAGAACTTAGCTCATTTCTTTTAGTTAAACTATAGCTTAGTTTGAACTAGAAAAATATAGTTTAAGTAATCAATTTTCATAAGCTTTTCAAGTAGCTAAACTAAACTAGAAAAAAGATTATTTAAACTAACTAACAACCAACAAATTGGATCAGCAACAACTGCGTTCTGTACTCAAATATAAGGTTACCAAAAACATATAATATGCCAATAATAATTATTTACTGCAGGCCATGGTTGTTCAAAAAATTTTCCAAATTTTTAAGCTCCGAAAAAGTTTACAAGACTTAAAGTTAAACTTTTCAGTTATAACAAAAAATTACTTATACTTTCATTTTAACTAAACTTTTTTTTAAACTTTCGCCTTAACTAAATTTTCTTAGTTATACTAAAAAGTTAAACCTTTTTAGCCTAATCTTCCCCATCACTGCATACATATCTATATATGTATGTGCATATAAAGTATATATATATATATATATATATATTTATTTATTTTATTTTTCATCTAAATATTTATATATATTTAGTTAGTTTATTAGTTTATTTCAAATTAAATGTCATTTTCATCTAGAAAGATATATATTTTTGTCTTTAGGAATAATGATGGCTGGCTAAGTTTGTGACTTTTAGTAGATGTAATGACTAATAAAAATTTTAATTCATAATTGTTATCAAAATTACCGTAATTCGTCTCTCCTTGTTTTGTTTATTTATATTAACTGAAGCTCGCGAATTTCTTCCTGTGTATTTATGTATGTGCGTGTGTGTGTGTGTGTGTGTGTGTGTGTGTGTGTGCGTGCGTGTGTGTGTGTATATTTGTTCATGCGTGTGTAAATTTTTATATGCACGTTTACCGAATTGCACGGACACGAAATTACGAAATATTATAACAGACAATAATATAATACTAACG